AGACCATTTTCTTTCTACCCAAACTTTTTATTATTACATTTATTGTCTTTTATACTTTTTACATTATTCTTACTGGAACAAAGTGATTTTGAAAGAGAAGTCAATAACCACTGTTATGACTTATTAAACTGGATTTACGAATTTACTTTAATATTAAACTACCAACCTTTAGTAAAATGGTTACATCAAACTCATTTTAAAAAACAAATACTGTTAAATGGTTTTGTCTTTATTAGAAAATGCTAAGAATAAACTGTTCTCAGTAGCAATTACATTTTAAGATCCACCTTTAGATTCTTGTATGATGATGGAACAAAGATAATTTTTTCACTGCCACCACTCTAAATATATCCATCTTAAATGGTGCTGGGCACAGATAAATATGGGATTTCCACAGGAGTGAAGTACGTGCCTCAACCAAACAAATGAGGCTTTAGGAGTTGGGTCTTAAATGTTCCTTCTAATGAGGGAGCAGGTGTACACCAAAGGTTCTAAACTGGTTCTATTTCACAATGCCAATAGAAAATACCCAATTAGCAAGGGCTTTTGTTTTCCAATTAAATATTATTAACTTTTATTAAAAGAAACCAGAAAATACATCAAACACCTTGTGAGATAAAAGCAGTAATTAAAAAAGAAACCAATTTTTTAAAAAATCAGATCAAGTTAACCAACAAAAGCAAAAGCTGAATTTTTTAAATTAGTAAGAAATAGATAATCTTTTAGCAAATATAATCTAGCAAAAAGGAAAATATAGTGGGAACAAAGGATATAAGCACAAATATAGGGAAAATATTTCTAAATTATACAGTATCTAAAACAATTTACACCAATATACTTAGAAATTATACAAGCATCTTTTACCTATTTTGGTCTAAATGGAAGAAACATTTAAATAAATCAATAATAAAAAAACCAACACTAAAGTTCACAGAACAACAGAATAGAAAAAACCCAATAATTCATTTACTATAGTTAAAAAACTGGTACAACCACACAATAAAAACTGTGTGTTCCAATATACTTATTTGTCAGGATTTCCAGGGCTTGCAGATATGTAAAGAACAAATATAATTAGAAATAAGGCAAGGAAAAATATAAATATATATATTCATATACTCAAAACAAGCTCTAAAAGGAAAACAAAATATTAAGAACAAAAAAGTGGGGAATAAATTGGATACAGGGAAGAAAGATTTTTTGAATGTATATTTTTAATTGTTTAATGATTTTAATCATTTTTGGCAACAGGAAAAATTTATCAACTTGTATATAATGTATGTTTTAAAAATTCCTACATATTAGTAAGGGGAAAAAAAAAATCACCCAAAAGAAAAAAGAAGAAACATATGACCAAATACAAAAGAAAACAGTGAACTGGCTAAAAACAACACTCAATTTGTCTCACTGGCAGAGAAACGCAGCTTATTACCACAATAATGAACTGTTTCACGTTCAATATGCTGGCAAAATTTAAAAAGTTGGGCAATATTTCATGTGGAGAGACGACAGAGGTTATTCACTGTTGCTGAAAAATTAATTAGAACTACCATTTTAGAAATGTCCGTATGTAATAGCTTTCCAATAGATGCAGTAATTCCATTACTACTATGCCAGAGTGAACATAATGTATATATGTACTTGGAGCTATGTACAAGAATATTTATGGCAGCACTAATTATAACAATCTAATGATGGAAATAACAAACATGAATACAAAATGTTTTTTATAATAGATTATATTTCATTTTAAAAATTTATTCTTTTTGATACAGATTCTCACTATGCAGTTCAGACTCATAGTGATCCTCCTGTCTCAGCCTCCCCAGTGCTAGGAATACAGGAATGTGCCACTACACCCAGTTCCAGGACTGGTGCAGCATGTAGTACTGGGGATTAAGCTCAGGACCTTGCACTTGCCAGGTAGATGCTTATGCTGCCGAGCTGGGATTCCCAAAGAAGGAATAATACTAATACATGTGAATTTTTTGTATATTATGTAATGAAATGTGTCATCATTTAGAAGTTCTACGTAACTCAGTGAACTAGTATTTTACAAAAGACCAATAAATGAGTAAAATAGCAGTTAAAATAAGACATTAATTTTAATGTCACTTACATAGTTTCAAATTCTACATTGTAGCTAACATTTAAGAAACTTAGTATAAAAAGTGCTAAATATCAATATTTTATTACCAGTAAAGGTTATTAAAAATCCACCTTTTCCAAACTACTTAGATGAGGCCATATTTTTTTCCCCTGTGCTTCAGCAAAAACAATACACTACAACAGACTGAATAACAAAGTAGAACTTCAGTGACTGAAAGAGACATTAAAGGTACTTATAAAACTGTAAAATGGGCTGGGGATATAGCTCAGTGGCACAATGCCTGCCTGGAAAGTGCAAGGTCCTGAGTTCGATTCCCCGTTCTACACATACACACACACACAAAAAAAAACCCTGTAAAACTATGTCATTCTTGTCACTAATATTTTGGAGTGTATAATTATTTTACATTAAAATGGTGAATTACACTAAGATGTAATGGATTTTTTAAAGGTACAATAAATGTATGTATTACAGTATATTTTAAATTGGTCAGTTCTACCACCTAATGATTTATCAATAGAGATAATCTACATAAAAGATCTTCAGGTCCCAATAATTTTTAAAGATGTAAAGAAGTCAAGAATGAAGTTTCCAAACTGTTGAGCCACAGGCACATGCTTCAACATGAATGATTCAGAAATACAATGTTAAAGAAAAACAGCTCATAGCATATACAGTTTGTTTAACAAAAACAGTTCATAGGGGCTGGTGAGATGGCTCAGTGGTCTAAAGCACCTACTTAGAACAAACTTAGCAAAAACAAAGGGACCACAGTTCAATCCCCCAGCACCACATGCCAGCCGGCCCCGCCCCCCATTTATTTGTGTACACACACAAATAAATAAATAAATTTAAAAAAAAAAAACAAAAAAACAATTCATAGCATATATAGTTTGATTCTATTTGTCAAAACAAGTGAAAATAAACAACGCACTGATGAAGGAAATGTACATCCGTGATAAAACTAAAAGAAGGTAAGAGAATAACCCAATAATAACATAACAGAACTATACTTTTTTTTTTTTTGCTACTGGGGAAGGACCTTGTGCTTGCCAGGCAGGCACTTTTGCTGCTGGGCTATATCCCAGGACCCCTCTCCCTTTTTTAAAAAAGAGTACATATTACTTTATTTCACAAAAAATTTAAAAGATATAGGAAGACATATTCTCTTAGAAGAAATTCAAAAGAATGTCTCTTCTCAAATTACTCTGTATTAACATATCAATCTATAAATTCAATGTAATTACAAAATTTCAACAAAATTTTCTATACAACTTGGTACAAAAGATGGTACTAAATTTCATTTGGGAGAAAAATACAAAAGAACTCGAAACATTTTTCAAAGGAAAGTACCAAAATATATTTTAGGTAAAATATTTACAGAATACAATGTTAGGAAACAGGGAGTTGAAAATCCTATCTTTTGAGAGAGTGAATTTAAGAACATAATCATCTGAGGGCAATCTAGCACATTATCCAGCATTTTCCTAAGGAAATGATTCTATAGAAATTGTCATGAGTAACTGATACATGTTTATGATAAAAAAAAATCACTGTAAGCATTGTTACAAGGAAATTTTGAAAATAAACACCCACCTATAGAGAAAAAATACACCCAATAGTTAACAAATATTAGGCAAGAGTTTAGACACTCGATTTTAATTCATTTGTTCCAACTGGACCAGAGGAGATATGATGAATCTCTTTTGTGACAGAATTAGTTATATTTAGGCATATGCACTAAATACACATTTTAAGCGCTTTATCTTCCATAATAATTTCAATAACTGGGCAATTTAGTCACTTTTTTCTGGCCTGAGCTATTGATGCACTGATGTACAGTTATCCATTCTACAAGGCAGTTTTCCAAAAGAAGTGTATTTTTACGAAGGAACATTGCTTTGTTATAATCCTTCTAGGTAGAATTACCACCAGCATCGGATTAGTGAATATCAACTATTATCATTGCTTTCCCTTTTAATGCTTTCTCAAGGGAATATGGTGGGTCCCAAGATCATTCATATTACTACACAGCAAGACAATGTACCTGCACAACACTTAAGTTGAGCAAACATTTTCATTAATGTTATTTCAATTTTACCTTTCAAGGATAAAAAATAAAAGAATGTTTTATTTAAATTTCTGAATTTCGAACTGACAAGCTAATATTAACAGAAACGATAAATTTCAATCTCGTATTTTGAGGTTCATTAGCCAGTTTTTACCAGAATGTGCTGGTTGGTGCTGTCTTTAGACAAACTGCTGGGTTGCACGGACCAACTTACTTTAATGATCCTCATATATTACTCAGTTTGCTGCCAAGTCACATTCCTTACGGGTAGACTTATTTTACTTTTCAAAAGGTCCCACGGCGACATGTTCTGTGCCGAAAAAAATGTAGTAGGCTTAAGAACTTAGGAACTAGTTTTCTAGCCAGTTCAGGTCCAGCAAAGGAGGGAGTGTGTGTGTGTGTGTGTGTGTGTGTGCGCGCGCGCACCCCTGAGGCGCATGGGGCTGCACTCCGACAGGAGACGCAAACGAAAAGTTTAAACCGTCCTGGAGTTTCTGCCTCAAAATGAGGAAAGATGAATTTGGGAGCTCTGAACAGATTTGCATTACGGTTAAGACTTCTCTATACGGCAAAACCGAGAACGCGGGATCCGCTAAGGAGCAACCTAACAAAAAGCGCTGGGAGCCACGCCTCCCCTGCCAGCACCGTCAGGGAGCGCGGCGAACAGGTGGGCAGAACGCACGACCACGCACCCGGACGCGGGCTTCGGCCGGCACCAGCGCACGCCGAGCCGCTGCGCGCCGCGCTCAGGCAGCCTCGGGACGGCTCGCTGCTCGCGGAGCCCGCGCCAGGCACGCCCCAGCACCCGACGGGATTTACCTGTCGCTAAGGACTTGAGACCGCCGCGCAGGGTGCTTCCCTCGCTTTTCCTGACTGGCCGCTCCTCAGCCCCGGACCTGGCGGCAACGAAGTGCACAGAGAGGGAGGCCCGTCTCGGGTCCTCTCCGCGGCAGCCCCTCCCGGGCGAATGCAGCGCTCCCAGCCTAGCACCTGGCCCGTCGTCCCGTCTCACCTCAGAGTCACCGGCGACAAACAGCCTGAGAAGCGCGGCAGCCAGATGGAACGTGTCGACTTTCTCGCCGCCTAGCGCTAGCAACCGGAAGTAAAACCTCGCGGCCAAAGGGAAAAAAGTCTGTGAGGGGGAAGGGCAAAAAAGAGAGAAAGTGAAAACTGAACTGCAGGGTTCCCCCCCCCCCGACACCGACCAATCACGGGAGGGAACCCATCGCGCAGCTGCGAGCCGCCATTGACGTCCACGCGGCGCTGAAGTTTTCTCTCAGCGCAGGCGCAAGGTCACGAGCCCCCCCCACGACTTCTCGCGGGATTGGCGCCCAGCCGGAAGTAGAAAGTGCTTACAGGAAGAGGCGGGGTGACTGTGGTGTTCGTCACAATGCTGTGGTAGAATTGGTTCGCCTTTCGCTTTCCCTGCTGCGAGTGCCTTCTTCAAGGTGTCAGGACACCTGCGTTGTGTCTGGCCCAAAAGCAATGTTTCTGAAATTTCTCTCTCGTTTTAACTTAACTAAATTCTAGCTCCAGTAGTGTCTGCTAAAAATGACTTACTGTGAAGAACTCAAAGGTGACCATAAATAACATTTCAGGCATGTTCTTACCTGGGATAAACATCTGTGAGAGACTGAGGACAGCCATTACAGGGACCAAGCCTTACCTTGGGAATGTTAAAGAGATTTTAGAAACTGAAATGGGGTTTTCTCCTGTTTCCAGGTGAAATATAAGACAAATGATAACCACGGTTCTGAGCAAGTTTAACAAGAACAATGCCTATAATGGAATTTATCCTAGAGGTGAGTAACGAACACCATCGCAATAAAGTAGAAGTTCAGATAATATATGCTGTTAAACTGGAAATGGGTAGATGGGTTTTGGGACTGGAGGCCAGTGCAGAGGGGCAGAGCTACCAAGTCTCAATGGACATTGGAAGGCAAAACCCAAAGACAAAACGAACCAAAGCCTGTGGTACCTACCTGGGGTCTCCGACAACAACAACATCGCGTGCGCGCATACACACACACACACACACACACACACACACGCAAATACATTCTTAAGGAAGAGTTTTCCAAGCAGAAGGCCCACCATGTGTAAATGCCCAGTGAAAAAGCGAAACTAAGTCTGGTTAAGACAAGAATTTTGCCATAATAGAGAATGAAATAGACCTAAATGACAGGTGTATGGAACCGGTTTGTAAAGTTTCTTACGGCATATATTCATGAAACCACCAGCTGCTATCCCCAGATCATATTGAAATTTGTCATTGCTGTAGTACTGAGATGGAATCTTTAAAAGAGGTCAGGAGAACTCTGGTCTCATAAATGGGTTAATGGCATTATTGCAGGGGTAAATTACTTATCAGAGTTTTCTGATACAGGGTGTTTCTGATAAAGGGATTCAATTTGGCCTGATGGTCACGTTCTTTGTGGGTGCCTGTCTGCCCCTCTGCCACACTGTAGAACAGCATAAGGCCCTCACCAGATGTAGCCTCTGGATCTTAGATCTTCCTAGGCTCCATAGCCATAAATAAAATAAACTTTATTTTATTGATTTTGATTTTTCCAGTCTGTAGTATTCTGTTATAGCCCCAGAAAATGGACAAAGACCCTTTGGACCTTTCCTACCACCAAACTTACCACTATTACATCCATTGTAATCTCTTCCTTATATTCAAGAACAGGCATGGCACCTAAATATGCACCCTCATATTTTGTGATTTACTTGCTTGTGATTTGAACTCTTAGTTTTCTGTCTGTATTGTAAATCTCATGTTTTGGGGTGTTCCTGTTATTTCATTGTTATTGCTATATATGTAGATGTGGCACAGATTATGTGTTTTGCCTTTGGTGAACATTTAAATTGTTTCCAGGTCTTGGTTATTAGAAATGTTGCTACCCAACTTTCTTATTTGTGTTCTTTCATGCACACGTGCAATTCTTTTCTTGGGTGTATAGTGGAAAGGTACAATGCTAAATATAATTTGGAGTTTTGGCTAAGCTTCCCCTTTTTGCTTGTATTGGGCCTATTTAATTATTTTGGTTAAAAGAATATCAGATATTACACAATACTCTTAAGTGTCCTTATGTAGTTTGAGTTGGCTTGTTCTGAGTTGATTCACATGAGGAGAACATGTCTCATGTAGCTGTTTTCCTCTCAGCGTGAATCTCCAGAACAAATTTTTTTTTTTTCTTTTTTTTGGCAGAACCGGGGATTGAACTCAGGCCCTTTCGCTTGCCAGGGAAGCGCTTATTCCACTGAGCCATCTCCTCGGCCCCCCAGAACAAATCTTTGTGGAGCAGATGTGATGCCAATTTACAGCATCATGAGTTAATCTAACTCATGTTAGATTTCATAACTCTAGATTTTCTGAAAATTGATGAGCCTGAGAATTAATGCTGTTATTATAAACCACCGAGTGTGGGGTGGTTCATTTTGCAGCATTATAATGGCCATAAAGAAGACATATGTTCAAGTTCAGTAGATAAGGAAAAACTTTTTGAAAGTTAACTTTATTATGCTAAACTTCCATGTACAGTATATAAGAATTCTTTTACATACTTACATATTTACAGTACTTTAGCTACTATAGAGTACGTTACAGTTTGAATTTGCATTTTGTGCAACCTTGTTTTTAAATGGATTTTGGCTAGTATAACTTTTGAATTTCTATATAGAATGAACTTACCATTTTTCTCACCTCAAAAATGATGAGATTTTAATTGGAGTTGTAAAAATATATAAATATATATTTCAGTCTGGAGGAAAATTAACATGTCTAGTTTCTCTTCAAATCCACACGATGTGAATCTATGTAGGTCTTTTAAAATTTAAGTAACATTTACAATTTTCAGTATGCAAGTCTTCCATACACACTGTTTAATTCTTTATATTATTTATTCTGTTCTTAATGGTTCTTAGACCATTTAGTTTACAAATATTTGTTCATATATGTTAATTTTTCATATTAATCTTGCATCTTGTAATTTACTAAACTCACATATAGTAGCTGTTTGTGTATTTGCAATTTTAGGTTCTTATAAGACAAATCCTCTTCTAACACGAAGGCCTCTAATAAAAAGTTGAATATAAAGGGTGGAATCAAATAACTTTGTCTTAAATGTTCTACAATCTGAGGTACAGGATCTCAGGATAAATCCTGAGGGCATTTCACTGACCTTCTCAGACCAAAAAGCTACAACTCTTGTTGCACAGGTCCTGCTTTACCTTGGTCTTAACCATCCAGTAGAAAAGTATGAAGACGAAATATAGGAAGTAAAGCCATGTTGTTATGTTGAGCTGTGGGGGACTCAGGTCAACAGTTTCTGACATTGCCAGTTAAACAGAAGACCCAATGCTAGTATGGGCTACTGGACTCTTTTAGAATATTTTGCTGAGCTTACACACCTATAATATTCAACAACGGAACTTAAAAAAATTGGGGTATAACTATGAATGTCCATTTTGTATCTGTGTATTCAAAGTGGTTGGGATAGATATATAGTTGCATTCTCTTAATGAATAGAATGATTTGTTCTAATGGTGTTTGTAAGTAGGATCACAAGTCTGCATCTTGTACATCAATTAACCGCCAAGAAGAATATAAGCAGTGTATTATTTGTTGAAACTGTACTTTCGATTTGATTTGAAGCTGTCTCATTGCTATATGTTTATCAATAAAACTTTGAAAAGAAAATACAAGATACACACATTTAAAAAAAAAAAGAAGTAGTCTATATATCCATCAACAGATGAATGGACAAAGAAAATGTGGCATATTTATACAATGGAGTACTTCTCTGTCATAAAGAAAGATAAATGAAGCATTTGTAGGTTGCACCTTGAGAACATAATGTTAAGTGAAATAAACCAGGCATAAGCATAAAAAAAACAACAACAACAAATAACTTTGTCTTAACCTCAATCTAAGAGGAAAGCATTCACTTTACCATTAAATGTAATATTAGCTTAGGTGCATTAAGATGCTGATTGCATTTTTGTTTTTGTTAAAAATATTGTTTAATTTGTGCTATTATAAAGTTTTTAAATGGAGAAAAATATCAATTGCTGTAAATATGTGAAGTAATAGATGTTAACTTAATTGCAGTAATCATTTTATAATGTGTCAAAATATGTATCCTATTTATGTCAGTTTTATTCAAGAAAAATAAAAATGTAACAAACAGCAATGAAACATGCAGTTTTTAAAAAGTATAAAGTTACCATTGATTTTTGTATACTCCTTTTCAGATGCAGCAATTTTTCTTCTTTTCCTAGTTTTAGAGAGCGTTATTCATAAGTGGGTGTTGAATTTTGTCACTTTTTGCATCCACTAAGATTATAATTATTTTAGTCTATTAATATACTAAATTTTAGTCGATTAATATTGAATTATATCTATTAATTTTTGTTTGTTTTTGTTGTTGTTTTGAGATAGAGACTCACTTTGTATTTCAGCCTGGCCTTGAACTCATAGTGATCCTCCTGTCTCAGCCTCCCAAGCACTGGAATTATAGGTGTGCACCACCATGCCTGGCCATTAATTGGGTTTTTCAACATTACACCAATATTAAGTTCCTGGGATAAACTCAATTTAGTAAAAAATGCATTATCTTTTTCATATAGTCCTCTCAATTATAAGTAAAGCTATAATGTTCTATATTTTTCTCTACAGGAAGATTTATAGATCCAAAATTCCTTTCTTTCTTTGCCCTGCCCTGCCCTGCCCTGCCCTGCCCTTTGCCATGCCCTTTGCCCTGCCCTGCCTTGCCCTTGGGATTGAACCTGGATCTTTCACACTGAGCTATATTCCCAGCCTGTTTTTTATTTTTGAGACATAGTCTCAAAACACTTGCAGTGTTTCTGAGTCAACCTTTTAGAGTGCAGGCATTGCAGGCATGTACCACTATACCCATATCAAATTTTCTTTAATAGGTGTAGACTGTAAAGCATATCTATTTCAGAGGAAGAGAATCCCATAACTACCACTGTCACGCTGTGGTGACTAGACATTCTAGGGAAGCAAAGCCAGGAACTTAACACTATGTGCACAGAAAAATAAAATTTAGACTGCTATAATTTGTTATATTCAGTTTCCAATTGGAAATTTTGAGT